CCTTTTTGTCTACACTGAAAGATCAATAGCCCCTTTTATCAAGTAAAATTTTCCGTTCCTCATTTCGGTTTCTGATTTACTCAGAAATTTAACAAGGTATGCGAGTATTTTATAAAATTCGATTCAGGCTTTTAACTTTTTATGGTTTTAAAAGCTTTCAGTTGATTAGCTTTTCATATCGGAAATTTTATTTTTCTAGTTCCTCTTCTGCGACATTCAGTTTAAGTTGCTTTTGCATGGCCCGGGCAAGAATGATTGGCTATCTTGTTGTCAATACTGTCAATAAGTCTCTTTTCCTGTTCCACTCCTTCATTTTTCTGGCGGATATACGGCCTTTTTGATGCTTTGACGATTGTTAAATAAGCTTTTCATAAAAGCTTAGTTTATAACATTTAGAAACTTTGGAGTTAGTTTTATTTGACGAGTTTTATATCTTTCTTGCACTAATTTGACCTATCCGCTGGTTCGAGGCCAATCCGTCTTTAGCCCCATGTTTGTTCAGGAAGCTGAGTTCAATCTCTTGTACAGCCGCTCGCATAACTTGGGCTGTGACTATTTAATCGTGGTGAGAACGAGAGAATGAAACGTGAATAGAGATGCATCAACTAAATGGATTACATTTAAAATTATTCATTTCAGTGTAAAATTATAGGAGGGAGATTATAACTTAGTCACACGAATTGTGGGTCTTACGCTTGTTGAAAGAATTTTATATCACCGGCTCATTAAATAGCAAATACGCCACTAGCTTCACTTGAGCCTAGCAAGCAGATTATAGAAGGAACTTTGAAACTTTTAATCAGTTGAATAATTAGACTTCAGACTGGTACACTTACAAACAACCCAAACGATCCTCACTATTATTAAATGGTCAACCAGTACCCCTTTGAAACTCTTCTTTATATTAATATTGATTCTTCTTATACAAAGCATACTTTGCGTCCTGGGCTTTATCATAAATAGTGAAGATATTTACACCAAATCGTATGCTATCTGTAGGCTAGCTGAACCGAATAAAGACCTATTTTGACCTCGTTTTCGCAACTTACTTGTGTTTGTGTTGGGTGATTTGGTAGGAGCTACTTGTAGTGCCTCATCCATCAGCCTTAGATGTCCTGAATTGAAAGAACACAGGATAACAATTGATAAGGACGCAATACGCGATCAAATAACCTAAATTTCAACACTTTATTAAAACTATATTCTTATTCTACTTTTATAGTATAATTGTAAAATGACTTTAATATATATTCATGTGATCGATATTTTTGGAGTATAATATAGGCCTGATATCATATCAGCCTTTGCTATCAGCCCTGAGACTGTGGATAATCGAGTTTGCTTTGGATACGAGGAGATTATTTTCGGTTTTGCTTATCTGCTCTCCGGAATGATTAATCTCATAACTATCTCTTAATGATACCTAACAGATAGGCTGCCCCCAAATTCAGCCTGAAGTCTTCCACTTTCCTCTTGGCGCATGCATTTTGGTGTTTTCTAGATGAATAAGAGAAAATATTTTGCTATCTTCCTTTGAGGGAGGTACTCGGTAGGTCTAGAGTAGGCCTATTCAGACAGCTACATGCAAAATTAAGGGCGAATGTTAAGAAGGTGCATAAAAAAGTATTCCCATTAGCGATTTAGTCCTTAAATGCATTAGGCTCACTAGAAAATTCTGCATAAACATGCCTCTTTCTTGGGCAAAAATAATCGCTCTGTCAGAACTTTGCCTGTATTAATTGCTCATTTCTGTTAGAATGTACACAATCAAGCCTTATTCTGGCAAGAAGAGCCGGCGCATTTGCCTTATTTTTATCTTTCCATCCTCCTTTTGTTCTCTCATTTGCTGCCTTAAGACTCCGAGTCCGAGGAGGGCCTGAACAAAGAGGAGGGCGAGGTGGGCTGGATTGAAGGCCTGGCGATTCTGATCGCCGTGATCGTGGTCGTGTTCGTGGTGGCCGTCAATGATTGGCAAAAGGAGCGCCAATTCCGCGGACTACAGAACAAGATAGAGTCGGAGCACCGCTTCTTTGTCATCCGGTGCGGAGAGACGCGTGAGATCACCGTCAAGGACATCATGGTCGGCGATGTATGCCAAATCAAATATGGTGAGTTCTGGCTTGTCTCGTAGACCTCAGAAACCCGAATATTGTCACTATCCACAGGCTCAATGACATAATTTAGAACTGGTGAACCTTGACAACAAACACTTTGTCAAATCATCAGATTGCTTGACGAACCTTTCATTTTGAGTGGAAAATTGAGGGGAAGAGCCTTGTACACTCGAAGAGTTCCTGTCAAGTGTGACGGCTGATTCGAGCATTGAAGTCAGACTGACAAAAACCCAGTAAACATTTATCAGACTCGAGTGATCATGCTTCGAGGGCTTTTCGTGCTCAAATTACTAGTCGCAACTCTGGTGAAGCTCGACTTTTCATGCCAAATAAGACGCCTAGTGGCATCACATCATTAAAAGCGTCTTTTTGACCCATTTTTTTGTCGAATACGCCAAGTTTCCCTGCCTCTGACTCCACTTCACCGGAGAGTCCATCTTTATGTTATATTTCGATGAATATTTTCGGGCAATAAGGTATTAGCTTTTTGCTAATATCTTCATGCCATGCTGTAGACATTAGATTATTTCTCCTTTCCAATATGATACAGCATGCCTACCTATTATGGACTTGAAAGGACCAATTCGAGTTCTCTTTATCCTAACCGTTTATTTTACTTTGTAGAGCTTTCAGGTTTTAGCCTAGTCAAACTTGCTCTGTAACTTCACATATAATGCGATTGTGGTGCTTAATTCTCCTTCTACTTACTCTCCCACTAGGCTTTGTAACAGCGTAACTGTTGGTGATCCAACTTATAGACAGTTTGGTTGAATTTTTTGTTTATATTTTTACCCGGGCAACCAGGCTAATTCAGTGACTACAAACTTTTCAGCTTCTCGATGTCACCACCATTCTTATCAAACCATCTCTAGCCATCTCTCACCCAATCTAGCTTCCTATCCCCTCTTCAGTGTAATCTTACTGCTCTCTTCACACAACCCCCGATTGACCCACTCCTAACTCGAAATGCTTGTTTGTATGTAGAAAATGTGGACTTAGAAGACTCCCATCACTAGATTGATATTGATGTACATTTATTTTGGTTAAAAGAGCGGGTGGAGGAGATTCGTAAATTGGCATCATCAAACACCATAGAAAGATTGTTCTGGAATTGTGACTGCTGGATTGTGCGAAGAAGACCTCGGCTCGCCGTCAATCGACTCCGATGGATCTTTTCTTAATTTTCTTTTTTCTTCTGATAGACTCCATCACATTCAGAATGCATTATTTAAGCTAAACTCATGAAAAACAGGAAAAGTGGTCTGCTGAAATCCCAATTATCTCTTAGTCTGCAGTAAATGGGCATCCTGGGCTTCGATTAACTACTTTGTGCCAAGTCTATTTGCATGCAAACAAGTGAAGAGGGTAGCTGGTGTTGCCAAATCTGTTTCATTACGTAAATAAGCCTGTAGTACTCACGCTTGCTTTGGGCTTATGGATTCTTGTGCTAATTGAAAATGTACAGCCCACATTAAATTCCAAGCTCGTGAAGCCTTCTCTCATGAAAAAAAACTGGGTTTCGAAGAATTTCTTAATAAAATATTGTGGCATGACCTTCCATTTCGAAGGGAAAGTTGGTTGGGAGCACTTCGCGTAATTGTCTCATCGGAAACCGAAGGAGGATTACCGCGCAGGGAAGACTGTTGAATTGTGCGAAGTATAATGCATATTTTACCCTCAATGGTAATGGTAAGTAGTATGAGTAGACACGGGGTTTGGCTATGGGATCTTGTTTAGCCCCTATTTTAGCTAAT